CGCCCTCCCTGGTCCCAGCTGCCAGCCTCCATGTGCGAGCCGAGTTCCCACCAAACGTGGACGTCCCGTGACCTCACCCGCTGGCCTCTGTCCCTATGGGCTCTGTTCAGGAATGTCCCCTTCCTGTTGCCACCGGCCCCGACGCGCTGGCCCGGGAGTCACACGCTGCTGTTCCTCTGTTTTCAGTTATGACCGCATGCGTTCCCGAACCCCCCTCCCAGAGGAGGGGCCAGAACGCCCTTCTGCTTACTCACAGTCTCCGGGGAGGCGAAGAGGGAGCAGATGCCCCGAACCGGGAAGCCTCACACCCCTGCAGCTCCCAGCTCTCCGCTCCAGCCCTCAGGTCCTGAAGCCCGTCCAGCGTCCCCACGGCTCCTCCTGGCCCCCCACACAGCACAGCGACCCCACCTCCAGCCTCAGGGATGATCCCAGTTCCCCCGCCCCGTCTACAGTGCAGCTGATGTGAGCGCCCAGCTTGGGTGCCCACTGCAGAGCCCCTCCCTGGGGGACCTTGTGTGCCGAGTCCCGCACCCTCTGCCGTGGCGTGCCCAGTCTCGGCCTGGGCATCCTCTGCCCCACACCCAGTGGCCCCCCACGTCGCACAGTTTCGAGCCAGACCAGGAACACTCTCGCTGCCCTGTGGGTGCAGCAACTTCTGGCCCCAAGGAGCAGGCACGCCAGCCTGACGGCACCTGCGGGGCGTGCAGGGTCACACGTTGGGGGTGTCAGGAGGGCTCTGCACGTCCTCCCAGTGCCTCGGCTTCGATGACACTGTCCACCTGGGGCACTCGGGAGCCACCCTCCACGTCCTGCCTGCATCTGGCCCTCCGTCGCTCCGCTCCCCTGGCCCCACTGGCCACTGCAGGCTCCTCCCGCTCCTCCACCCCGGGCCTGCTGCTCTCTGCGCAGGGGTGAGGCCCGGCCGGCTCCCGCTCTGTCCTGGTCGTGGCCTGTCCTCTGCCTGGGCACTCCGAGTCTCCTCCTCCTCCCGCTCTACTTCCCACCCAGTGTGGGTGTTTGACTGCCAGGTTCTACAAAGGCTGGCTGGGGCCAGGCTGGGGCCAGGGACAGCAAGCTGACCTCTGGCTCTGACAGTGACCTGTCTGGGTGGCTGGGTCAGGCTGTCTGACAGGCTGCCGTCCTCTCCCATGTAGCTGCCCCAGCTCAGCCACAGCTGGGGGTCTGCTCTCGTCCCCTCTGGGTGCTGATGGAGGTGCTCACAGTCAGGCTGGCGGTGTCCCCGTGCCATCCTTGCCAGGAGAGTCTCCGTGTCTGTCCTGGCTGCGTCCTCGACATCAGTCTGTTCGCCTGCACAAGCTCGTCTCCACGACAGGCCGGAGGACACCATCTCTCACTGGGCAGGGGTCACGGCACTGCATCGACCGCATGACGATGCGGTGCCTGGGACGCCAGAAGTTTTTGGACCGGCCAGTCCATCCGCATGAGCTCCCTGGGCTGCTGTGGAGGAGGCCGGCATGCAGGGTGCGTTGAAACCAGAAAGGCGTCTCATCACTCAGGTGACCAGAACTCTGGGCCGGGGCTCTGGGTCCCCCGCCTCTACTGGCCCCCAGGCGGCTGCAGCTTTGGCTGGCTGCTAGCTCCTTCCCACCTCACAGGTTCCAGGGGGACGTGGTTGAACCTGCAGCACCGGCCTCTCGTGGCCCCACGGTGGTCGTTTCCCCCCCCCTCCTCAGACACAGCTGGCCCTCCAGGCAGGCTGCGGTGTTTCTCCAGCCTCTGGACTTCGCAGGACTCCCTGGTCTGGCCCATCGTGCCTCCCACTTTGCTTTGTGGTTTTTGTCACACGTCCTCTCTGTCCCTTGGAACTTGGCCAGGACCCTCCCTGCTTGTCCCCTCTGGCCAGCCCCTCTCTCTGCGCAGTGGGGCGGGCAGGGGTACCGGCCTCATCCCACCCAAGCGTCCTTGAGTCCCTCACCTATGGGCCTGGAGCCCGCCCACCTCTGCGAGCAGCCTCTGCCTTCGAGGGCCCGCCCCCATTTCCCCAGCGTCTTCCCTGGGATGTCCCCTCTGCCCAGGGTGCTCGCCCTCCCACGTGGCACGGCCCGCTGGTGCTCTCAGGTTCTGCCTCCGCAAGAAGCCCTTTCCGACGTCCCCTCTGGGAGAGGCCGGGCAGATCCTTCCCCTGTGGGGCCTGGCAAGGCGTCCTGAGGCCAGGCGCTCCTCCCAGCGCGGGCTCCCTTCCTTCTGGCTCATTCCCGCTCCTCAGTGGAGGCGGTGCCCCTGTCGTCCTTCCCGGGCCCTCCAGAAACGTCTGTGGCTCTGCTCGGCGCGTGCGGGCAGAGGACAAGCAGGTGGAGACACGCACTCAAGTCCCTTCACTGGCCCCTGAGAGAGGGGCCGACCTCTGGCCACAGGGACAACAGACCCACGAGCAAGTGAAGGTGCAGCGGCGAACCGGCAGTTGTTGGCTGCAAAGTCTTCAAGGGAAACGGGTTACACCGTCTTCTCTGGGACGTGAGGAAACGCAGCCTCAGTTGGAGTTCAGGTTTTTTCATTCAGATGAGGGTGTTACCACCAACTTGCTGACCGGAGGGAAGACGCACCCCTCTGAGTCTGAGTCCAGTGTGTTCTCTCTGTCATCGGGAATTGATACAATCTATGGTTCCCGTGACAAAAAGGCTTCCAACACCACGAACAGGAAACAGGACTCTCCTCCTCCTTGGCAGGTGCAGCCGGGCCGGGTGTGGGGAACGCCAGGTCCTTAGCGAGGCCACAGGGCCAGGTCCCAGGCTGGCTGAGAGCGAACTACACACACACATGCTCTGACACATCCTTGACACGCAACCTGACCTGTGTGGGGCCGTGTGTGTCTGACCACCCCCGTGCCCTTGGCACAGGAGCAGCCCGAGCGGCCAGCCTGTGCCTGCCCTCTGCCCCCTCCACCCCAGCTCTGCCCTGCGTGAGCCCAGGCGAGGGCAGGAGTCGGCTGCTGCCACCGTCTCCTTCCCCAGCGTTTGCTCTGCGCCACTGCACACCAGGCTGCCTGCTGGGCCCGTGGTGGAAGCTGATTCCCTGACGGTGGCTCCTGCCCCTGGAAAGTGGGGGCCACGTGGCTCTGTCGAAGTCAGGACCCCCAGAGGAAGGGGCCAGACTGAGCAAAAGAAGGGTGTGGGTGCAAGTAGGTGCTCCCAAACCCACTTCCCAGTCCTTCAGCGGCAGGAATGGGAACACGTCCGCTTGCTTTGGGATTAAATGCTTTTTGCACGTGACAAGTTAACTCATCTGTGTAAAGCATCACTGGCTGCAGCCTGGTCGTGTGTGTCCCTTGCCCCTCCACGTCCCCCGGGCGGGCAGCCCTGGTTTGGAAAGGCCGGCCTCGTTTCGGGCAGCGGGAGGCACAGTTTCAGTGCAGAGCTCACATTCTTTCTTTGGCCGGTTTTATTTATAGCGTTTATTTCCTGAGAGGAGAAAAGCGATTTTCCCCTGTCTGGCTCCTCCTCTGTGGTCCTCCCGCGAGGAGGAGGGATTATGTCATTCCTTCGAGGGAATGAATTGAGCGCGCTGGAGACAGGAGCAGAATATAAAGCCGTGGTCGCGGCCAGAGGCCAGTGAGCCTGCCTGCCTGCCTGCCGCCCACCCGCCTGCTCGCCTGCAGAGGGCCGCCCTCGCCCCCAGCCCAGCCCACCCTACCGCTGCCCCCCACTCCGTCCCAGCCCTGAGCAGCCCTCTGCAGCTTTCTCGCTGACTGGTAAGACTTTTTTTAAAACTTCACCACATCATTTCATTGTAGTTTAATTTTTGGAGAAGTGTGTTCTGATTTCTAAGAAGAGGAAATCGTGAACGCAGCTTTATCATGGAGGGCTGTCCCATGCTGGTGACAGCCACACGGCACTGTCCCCGCCGGGCGCCCCGTGACTGCCACGGGTGGTGGGAATGCCGAGCCCTTCCTTGGCTCCTGCGACCCACTCAGGACGGGTTGCTTCACAAACGTCCCTGCCGGGGGCCGGGTGAATGCTTATGCGTCCGCTGCTGAAGTTTGCAGGTTAGTGTTTGTGATGCGAGGGGAGGGAGCCACGATGAAGGAATTAGGAGGAAGTTCCTGAGAACTTGAGAAACTAATCAAGAGAGATTGTAGAGACTCCAACGGTAAACATTACTGATCGCTGAAAATGAATAATAAATAATACGTGGGTAGGAAGGAGTAAGTCCTCGGGAAGTCCCCGGAATGCAGCCTCACAGGTGGCGGAATTAGCATATGGAAAGGCTGGGCTGCAGGCGCAGGGCTGGGGTGATTAGCATGTGGAAGGTGGAGGCAGGTACCCCCTCTCCCTCGGGGCTGCCTCAGCCTGAGGGGCCTGGCTCTGACCCTGTCACTCGGTGGGGGAAGCAGTTTTCTGTCTGAAAGTTGTTTTTGCTGTGGTGCCTGATACAAAAAGAATTTTAAAAGATCTTCAGATGTTCTCAGGACACTCAATGGCAGAAGATCTTTGGGAAAATCTCCTTTGGCAAAACCTGCACCATGAACAGAGTGTGGGGCTGTGGCACCCACGACGCCGGAGCCTGTGCGCCAGGCACTGTGGTGTGTGGCATTCATTAGGTCATGCGTGTGATGAGCCCTGCAGCCAGGCAACACGGGATGCAGTGAGGCTGTGCGGCCAATCGACCCCCTGAGATCAGAGGGGACCCTCCCGCTCACTTGGCCAGTGGCAGAGACGAGCCCTGGGCACCTCTGCTCTGGGAGGCACAGGTGGGACGGTCCGGGCAGCGTTCACTCGCTCTGCTGAAGCCACGCTCCGGGAGCCGGGCACGGGAAACCGGACATCCGTGTTCGGGCGGAGGCTGTCTTCGCCAGGGTCAGCCTTGCCTGCCGTCCGCAGGGCAGAAGGCCACACCGGGTGGGCGCACCAGAGTGCAGGGCGGGCCCAGGGCATGGGGGCCACACTGTGGAGCTTGCGGACAGAAATGCCTCCTCACGGCCCCTGGTCCTCGTGAGAACCCCGCTGACATCATCTGTCACTGATGCCCACGAGGAGTCCCGCTGGGAGCCTTCTGGGTGGGAGCTCCGCCGAGGCGCGTGACCGAGCCTGTGGGCTCACTGGGCTCACTGGGCTGGACGAGCCCTCGCCAGCGCTGACAGTTCCCTCTGGTCCTCGCTGCCCCCGGAGGTGGGTGTTTTCAGGGCCGAGGCTCCTGCCCCAGCTGGGGAAGCCCAGAGTGCGCTGCAGTCTGAGGTCCGGGCTCACCCAGGGCGGCTGCCGCCGGAGGTGTCAGCTGCCACAGCTCGTTCTCGGCCCCCTCTGCTGCAAAGCAGGCATCTGGGCTCCTGGCCTTCTGGGGAGTTTCCATGCAGGAGCCCGCTCTGCCACGCCAGCACACCCTTCGGGAGAGGCTGCTCCCTGGGCTTCTGCAGCGCCGAGCCCCTGACACGCTTTCGTGTCCCGAATGGGGGAGGACCTGGGCCTCGGTGCCTGCACCAGAGGGGCCCGGGGAGCCCGGGCCCTGGCAGGGAGGCCCCGCAGGGGTTAACGTGCAGCCGGCCGCCCGCCAGGCCTCCTGACTTCTGGTCCAGCCTCTGCTGAGCCAACTGAAAATCCCGAGAACGGAAAAACAGGCCTGCAGGAAAAGAGCCAGGCAGACTAAAACTCCTCAGTGGAATGCTGTGCTTTTTGTAATTACGATTCTCCAAATTAAGCTCATTTCTAACTAAATATACAGTTAATGTTTATTCTATTTAAGTTATGCACAGCTATTTCTTTTCCCGGCCATTCACACGAAACGCCCCCAGGAATCGCTCCCCCATGCTGTGTTTCCCTGACTCGGACTCCTGGTTCCAGTCCCCACCGTGCTTCTCTGTGCAGCCCTGCCGGGGTGCGGGCGGGGCGGGGGGAGCCCCGCTTCCCCTCCCCCCCATAAGCTGGAGAAAGTAACGAGAGCAGCATCTCCCTCCGGGGTCCTCAGGACGACGAAGTGGTGTAGGTCTTCGAAGGGGATTCGCACAGAGCTGCCTGGTAACACCAGTCAGCACTCGCAGCGACCCAACGAATGCCGACCGAGAAGCACACTTCTCATCGTCAAGCTTTCGATCCCCGCAGATCCCTCTGTTCCGGCTTTTAAACACAAACTTCTTTTCAGTGGTGGCACACAGCGAGAATTCCCTTCCGCCCCGGAGGCTGCGTGTGCTCGGCACCACCAGGCTCTGACCGCCCGCAGCCCCATGCTGGGAGACGGGATGCTCTGGACGCTGGTCCTGCCGGCCCTCTGGGCCTTGTGCGGCGCTCAGGGTGAGCGGGGCCCCGGCCGGGCGGGGGGAAGGTCGGGGAAGGACGAGGGTACACAATGCAAGGTTTGTGGTCGGAGTGTCTGACCTCTTGGCCCTTTTAACTTCGTTGTGAATAAATTCTTGTTTACTTCTGAGTCCACACAAAAGGAATAACATATTTTTGGAACATTCAGGTATTAGAGAAAAATACCTTTACACCTAGAAATATATTTTTTCTGGGCACACTTCAGCCCTTTTTTTCTACAAGTCATACTTGCAACACTTGAAGTTTTGGTATTTTGTAACTTTTCATTCTACCTTACTTCCTACTTAAAACTATTATATTTTCCTATGTCTTTATTCTTTTATAGCATAATTTTCAGTGCCTGCATAATATTCTGTCAGAAGCTAAACTCTAAATTTTTTGACCAATTCCCGTCTACGTGGTTACTTTATTTTTACTAGTATGAACGATGCCACAAGGAATGCTTTCGTACATAAAATCTTCACCAGCATTTCTGATTACACTGGAGGAGGAGTTCCAAGATAAAATCGAGTCAGAGGTTCTAATTACTTTAAGGACTTTGGCTGTCCCGTGGAGCAGCCCCACTGCGGGCGTGCACCCCGCCCTCTGGGCGCAGCCGGTGCGGCATGCCGTTCTCATTTACCGCGTCAGACGCACGCGAGGTCACGCTTCGTTTAAACTCTCCGCTCCGTCAACTATCTTGGATTTTCTGAACGTTTACAACTTTGGTAGGCCTGACGGCTTCCCTTTCCAGACGGCGACCTACCACTACGCGTTTAGAGCTCCGAGGCCCGCGGCGGTCTCAGACTCTTGCCTGGAGGGTGCGTGGCAAGCGCACCAGCGGTTTTCCACAGACCGGAGCGAGGCCAGTGCCGCTGAACTCTGTCTCCACGAGAAAGAGACAGACAGCCCAGTCCTTCCTGCAAACGCAGGGAGACAGGCTGGGGTGCATTTCGCCTCTAGGATGTTTTCCTGGCATCACTCAGCGGGGAGACGGGTGTATGATGTCCGGATCTGGGAGGCAGGAATGGGAGTGGGGGTGCTCAGGGTGCAGCTGGGGATGAGGTCCAGAGCGCCGGTCCCGCGGAACACAGGACCTGCTCCCTTCCTCCGGGAGGCCTGCTGGAGAGAGTGTCAGCCGAGCAGAGCAAGCGGTGGGTGGTGGGGTGGTGGGGTGGTTGATACTCTGGCCGGCGCTCCCCAACTTGTCTAGGGGACCAGCCCCTGTTTCGGGGACCGCTCTCCGAGCTGCAGCCAGGGGAGAGGGGAGTGGCTGCACACCGAGGGCTGCAGCATTGCACCCGGTGGGAAGGGAAGGGGACTTGGGTACTGGGTGGCCTTGCTCACTTCCTGGCGCAGGAGTCCACGTCTGCCGCTGCCAGGGGGCGAGGACGTCCCTGCGGGCCGCGCCCGCCTCCTGTAACCCCTGCTCTGTACCCCTGCGCAGCTGGCGACCAGGACGAGGACACGGCCTTTGACCTTTTCAGCATCAGCAACATCAACCGGAAGACCATCGGGGCCAAGCAGTTCCGGGGTCCCGACCCCCGTGGGCCGGCCTACCGCTTTGTGCGGTTTGACTACATCCCGCCGGTGGGCGTGGCGTACCTGGGCCAGATCGCCCGCCTCATGCGGCAGAAGGAGGGCTTCTTCCTCACGGCCACGCTGAAGCAGGACCGCAAGTCCCGCGGCACGCTGCTGGCCCTGGAGGGCCCCGGCGCTGAGCACCGGCAGTTCGAGATCGTGTCCAACGGGCCGGCCGACACGCTGGACCTCACCTACTGGCTGGACGGCGCCCAGCACGTCCTGTCCCTGGAGGACGTGGGCCTGGCCGACGCCCAGTGGAAGAACATCACGGTGCAGGTGATGGGCGAGACCTTCAGCTTGTACGTGGGCTGCGACCTGATCGACAGCTTCGCGCTGGACGAGCCTTTCTACGAGCAGCTGAAGGCGGAGAAGAGCAGGATGTACGTGGCCAAGGGCTCCGCCCGCGAGAGCCACTTCCGGGTGCGTATGGCGGGGGCGGGGCCCGGGGGTGGGTGGGGCCTAGGGACGGGGCGGGATGGGGGGGTGCGCGGGTCAGGCTCACGCATGCGCACATCTGCACACATGCACACACGTCACATTCCCGCACACGCACCATGTGTGTGCTCATGCCCGCCCGTTTGTACACATGTATATATCACACACAGACACCACGCCACACACACACATTCACACGATGCACAATGATGCCCAATGATGCCTACCTATGCCCACACAAGCCCACACACCAGTGCCACACACATACACACGTGTTCACGCACGGATACCTCTTAGGCGCACACACGTGCACACGCAATGCGCAGGCAGCACCAGGACTAAGCAGAACCAGTTGTTGCAGGGGCACAAATGGTCCCTGAATTTTCAGGAGGAAGACAGACTTGGTGACCAAGGAATCAACCGTGTTCACCTGCCCTGTTCACCTGCTCCTCTAACCCCAGGCTGTGAACCCACCCCCGAACCCCGCTTTCTTACTGAAATTATGCAGAACGCAAGAACAACTGTTTTTCTCAGGAAAGGTTACTGATAGCTTCGGGTGCATCTTTGTTGAAATGGCTTCTGGAGGAAAATCTTTTTAAGACCACAGGCGTTTGGAGTCCTCAGTGGAGGGTCAGCGCCTTGCTTCCGTCCAGATACCTGTGACTTCTTTGGAAACAAGTGTGTGTTTAGACTCGGGTATTGGAGTGGAAGGTGTGCAGATGCACCACCTGTTACTGAGTCCATCTCTGGAGGCCAGGGTTAGGGTCAAGGGCCAGGGAAGCCCCTGTGGCCCACGGGTGACCCATCCCATCTGGGCGGTGGGAGACACTCTCATCTCCCATTGCCACGCCCGTGGTTGGGCTAGTGGAGGTTTCCAAGACCTTTGCCAAATGCAATAGCCATGTGGGTCTCCTGCAAGAGAAGAACAGCCCGTAACATGGTCAGGAGACACAGTCACCTGTCCGCCTGGGCCCCCCTCCCTTCCCTGGGGAGCACCTGCTTCTTTTGTCATCTGCATGGCCTGGGTCCTGCCTCAAACAGTCTCACAGGTGACAGGTGCAGGGTGGCAGCTGCTGCAGGTGAGAGCACATAGAAAACGCTCTCCCGTTTCAAGTTTCCCTCTTGTGCTTTCACTCTGTTCTCTCCACCCGGGCTCGGACCCTTGCGGCTTGCTCACTGCTGCGTCTCTCTCCTTGTTACATCTCCAGGGCTTGCTGCAGAACATCTACCTGGTGTTTGAAAACTCTGTGGAAGATGTTCTTAGCAGGAAAGGTTGTCAGCAAAACCAGGGAGGTAGGTGTGTTTTGAACAGCATGTTTCCCGTCTTGGATGGATTTCTGCTGTGGAGAGTGTGTGTGTGAGTGTGTGGGAATGTGGATTAGTGAGAATTTAAACAGAAATGCAGGGTCCGGCAGAAGCAATGCTGCTGAGTGTCGACGGGAGGGTATGGGATGTCTTTCATGAGATGGACAGCAATGGAAACATTCCACTGAAAGTGTCATACCGCCTGCTTGAGCGTGACGTTACTATGTTACAGAATTGCATGCTTATGATTTTGTATAAAAGGTTTCTATGTAATTAGAAAGGGGTGATATTTGTGCTGGACCCCGCATTGGAATAAATTTAGCGGGTCGTGCTAGACAGGCTGCCACCATCAAATCACGCATCGCTCGAAGGACTGATGTTGAATACATTTTAATCCAAAATGACCCCTTTAGAAGCCAAAAAACAGATCGCTGGCATCTAACAAGATTGTAAACATACGTGAAGCTGCCAGCCTGGGAACGGGTGGGGTCACCCCGAGGAGCAGCAGACGTGGGTCACGGGCTCTGTGGCGCGTCCTCAAGTGGCCACGGCTGCCGACACGGTGCCGTGCCAGCCTGCTCTCCCAGCCCATCTGCTGGTCGAGTTTGCAGGTCACACCCAGCCACCGGCCAGCCTCCCCCCAGCATTTACTCTGCAGGGGTGACCCTGCCAGCCCTTTCCACACAGCGCGTCCTGTTGCGCGGTCTTGCAAACACCTGTGTGAGCCAGGCGCGTGTGATCCAGGCGCGTGCTCGCTGCTTGTCCTGGAGAGGAGACGCTGCGGTGCCCGGAGGCCCCCACCTGTGAGTGGCTGGTCTGGCCAGCACCTGGTCTGAGAGCCCCAGAGAGGAGGCTCTTCCCTGCCATGAGCCATCCCCACTGAGACTGTGTCCCCCATAAACCCGAAATTGTGGCAGACACACTGTGGTGTCTGCGGGTCGCTGTGTGAGACGGGGTGCTCCGGCCCCTGGGCATCAGCGTGCTGAGCAGGTGACTTCGCCCCCGGGCGCCCGCTGTTCCAGGTTCCCGACCGAGGCCTGGACCTCCCCGTCTGCACGTCTGTCAGCGGCTGGCTGGGTGAAGCAGGCGGTGGGGCAGGGATTCAACACAGGTTCTCAGCCAGTGAGTGGCGAGGAGGACCCCCTGGGCCTCCTGAGGCGCGGGTGCTCAGCTCCCGGGTCCCCATTTCCCGGGGACACTAGAGCTCAGACTGAATTGTGTCCCTTGTCTGGCCCCGGCTGAGATGCCAACACTCTGTCCCTGTGAATTAGGTCATCATCTCTTTGGGCGTGTGGCCATTACAGAGCAAAACACTGCAAGGCTAAGACAGTGAAGTGACACCAGTCCCTCTGGGGCGGGCAGGGGGCCCTGCTGGGGGCCTCCCGGTGCTGAGTGAAGCTGAGTGGCCTCAGAAACGGGGTGCCCGCCAGGTGGGCACAGTGTCCTGACACGAAAGGACAGAGAGACCGCCACCCGCAAGGGCAGGAGAGGGGACGTGGCCCCAACTCTGGTCCCATCCCTGCGCCAGCACCAGCCCGAGGCTGCCTGCTGTGCCCTTCTGAGGCTGCTGGGGGCGCTGTGGTAGGCCCCCCCGGGGCCTGCTCCTGGTGGCAGCATGGCACTGTCCGTCTGATCCCACAGTGACTGCCGAGGGTGGGTCCTGGGGCTCCGGGTGGTTCTAGGACGGGGAGGGGCAGCACATGCCCCCCCACCAGTGTGAACGGCATCGGGCCTTCACAGCCGAGGGGGGAACCGGTATGACGGCCGTCCCCACGGAGCTGAGGCATTTACCCGTCACGCTCTGTGGCGGGGTGGGGCCGGGGGAGGGCACTGCAAACAGGGACAGTGGCTGCGGAGTAGACGTGGCAGTGGCCGAGGGGCCGTCCCGCCCGGACCCCTGGGTATAGCCACGCTGGCTGCGCCTGGGGTCGGCTGCTGCCTCGGCTCCACCTAGGGCTGCGTCTGTGTCCTGGACCGTGGACGAGGACTCCTGGGCAGAGAGGAGAGTCCCCTGGGCTGGGGCCACAGCAGAGAAACTGTGTGAGTGTCAGGGGCAAGGGAGTCCCGAGGAAGTCACTCATTTAGCACAAGGACGTCGGATCCACGGACGCAGAAAAGCAGACAAAAGAAACCATGTTTCAGGGGGGCAGACGGGTGGGTGGGGAGCCGAGGGCGGTCACAGCGTGCAGAGGAGGTGCGACTGGAACCGGGAAGCTCCCCGTGCGCACGGGAGGCGAGGCCGCGAGTGGGGGTCTCCGGGGTGGGCCATGCGTGTCTGCTCAGCGGGCGGGTGGGTGGCTTCAGAGCGGGGTTGCGAGGGGGCGGTCCCCCTGCGAAACACACCAGCTGTAACTGTGCCCAGCGCCCCCGGTGCCCGTGGGGGGCGTGACGTCCCCTCGGAGACGCACGCTGGTGGCCCGTGTGCAGCCCGAGGCCGGTTCTGACCAGGCTCTGTGTGTGTCCCCTCAGCGGAAGCCAACGCCATCAGCGAGGACACGGAGACGCTGCACCTGAGCCCCGCGGTCACCACGGAGTACGTGGGCCTCGGCGCAGAGAGGCGGCCCGGGGTGTGCGAGCAGTCCTGCGAGGAGCTGGGCAGCATGGCCAGCGAGCTGTCGGGGCTGCGGGCCGTGGTCAACCAGCTGCACGAGAGCCTGCGGAAGGTGGTGGGTGTCGGGGCGCGCGGGGCCCCGGGCGTCGGTCGGAGCCCAGTGTGGCTCGAGGACCCTGGGCGGACGGCCCGCGGGTCCAGAACGGGAGAGGGAGTCGTGGGCAACACGTTCTCCCAACTGGGCCTCCCCCCAGGGACCGTTCCTCCCCCCAGTGGAAAAACCAGTTTTGTTTAGAAGATGACAGTTTTATTAGGGGCCGAAGTGTGGGGGAGGGGGGCCACAGGCGTTTGACGAGCAGGCCTGTCTCGACACGTAGGACGTGACCACAGCCCAGCGTGTCCCCCGGCGCGTCAGGGCGGAGGAAAGCATCTCAAGGGCTTCAGGACCTGGGGCCTCAGGTTGAGACAGGTGGCCAGCGGTAACAAGGCCTCACACTACTGTCCACCCCACCACCACACTTAGGCCCCAGGACGTGAGGGCAGCTGGTGGCCCAGGGGACGTAAGGAAGGAAGCGGGGGGAGGGGTGTGGGGCCCCCTTCGGTCCCATGCAGGGACACAGCCCGCGCCCAGCTCTGCCCCACAGCACGGGCCAGGGCGCTGGCTGGGGAAGTACCCAAGACGAAGGGCACTTTCTGGAGCCTTCCATCATGAGCGTGGGTGGGGTGGGGGCGGGAGCACGCATGGGCAGCCAGCGGGTAGCCCGTGTCACCTGGGGGCCCGTGAGCGGGCGGAGCGGCCGTGGGAAGGGACGTCCGTGAGGCTGTGCATGCGGCGAGGCCTCGGGCGAGAGTCGGCCTGCGGAGGCTCCGCGGGGACCTCACACCCGCTCCCTTCACGGGCTGCGCGCCCCGGCCCTGCTGTCCTCCCCGCCGCCGGGGGCCCCTACCTGGGCGGGCGGCGCTGTGGGCGAGGCGAGTGCGCCGCCCGCCCTCGAGCCCTGCTCCGGTCTTCCAGTCGAACGACAACCAGGTGCTCTGGGAGCTGGTCGGTGGGCCCCCCAAGACCCGGAACGTGTCCGCCTGCTGGCAGGATGGCCGCTTCTTCGCGGAGAACGAGACCTGGGTCGTGGACAGCTGCACCCAGTGCACCTGCAAGGTGAGGCCTCGGCGCCTGTGCTCTGGGGGATGTGGGGACGGGCCACCCCCCTCAGCCCTGAGGCGCTGCCAGCCCGCGGAGGCCAGGGCGCCCTCGGCTGGCCATGGGGATGCGGGGCGGCCGAGCGCCAGAGCCGCGGGGAGCCCGCTGCAGACAGGGCTGCCCTCAGCCTCGTGCTCTGCACACAGGGAAACCAAGTCCCAAGGAGGGCAAGCGATGGGGCCGCCGTCACTGGGCAGCCACAGGCAGCGGGGCTGGAGCCGCCAGAGCCCCTTGGGGTGGTGTGGAGGTCCACGCAGCTCTGTGAGGGCCGCGGGGCTCGGCGGGGGCGTCTGGGGACGGCCAGTCACTGCCCACACACCGGCCGCCGGCTCACTCAGCTCCTCCCCCGTGGTTCATGTCACTGGGTCCCCACTGGTGGTGACCTCCGACCCTGCCAGCCCCTCGGCTGGCCGACCGCCCGCTGCAGGGAAGGCTCAGTGCGGGGAGCAGGTGGGGACGCAGGGGCCGGCTCTGGGCGCCAAGGACGGGAGCGATCCCGACCCGGTGGCTGTCTGGTCCGCGGGGCGCGGGTCCCTGCGGACGCTTGCAGTCCCGCTTGGAGCCGAGGCTCATTTTCGAGCGAGTATCACACGAGTGACTTTCTTTACTGCAGAAATTTAAAACCGTCTGCCACCAGATCTCCTGCCCGCCGGCGACCTGCGCCAACCCGTCGCTGCTGGAAGGGGCCTGCTGCCCGTCCTGCTTCCCCCGTAAGTGCGGCCACGGCGGCCTCAGCCTTGGGGTCCCCACGGCCGCCTCCTGCTCCCTCAGCCTTTTTGTCAGGGAGGGTGAGGTCAGGCCGTGCCCGCCCAGGGACGCTTCGCCCGGCTGTCCACACTCGCTGCTCGGGGACAGGCACGCGTCTGCGAGCCCTTGAATTGCGGGCCCAGGGCCGGTCCCCTCTTGACAGAGCCCTGGGACCACTGGGCACAGAGCACCCCACCTTCGCTCTGAGAGAGAGTCGCTGCCCCTGAGTCAGGTGCACCTGCTGCTCTGGGCGTGTCGCCAGGAGGATGGGCAATCTTGGCGAACACACCCCTTTGGAGAAAAGACGATTTGAAGTAAAACAAGCAAGAGCCGAAGACCGTTGCCCTAGTGACAGAAACGCGCCCGTGGGAGGGACACTTGGACAAGGCAAAACCCCCAGGCCCTTCTGTCCCTCCACGCAGGGCAGCTGCGGGGCCTGGTGGGGGGCCGGCGGCCGGCCGGAGGGCCTCCCTCCCGCTGGAGGCCAGCACGTGTGTCCCCTGCTGGGCGGACAGGGGATGGGCTCAGAGAGGCCCAGCTCTGTCACACGACAGTTTGGAGCAATATGTAGCTTTTAGGGTCTCAGGGCGTGTTCCCCGTAAAGTCCAGAGGGGTGCTCCCCGCGCAGGGACTGGGGGTGATGGGCCCCGATGCAGGCTGTGTTGCAGCTGCGCAGCCTCCGGCGGCTGCCCTGCGGGACCTCTGACCTCAGCATTTTGCGGGCCCCCCACCCGGGGCGGTTCCGTGAACTGTGTCTCCACTGTTTCCCGGAAAGACTCTCGCCCTAAGTCACTGCCTTTTCTCCCATTCAGGGGCTGAAACCTTATCTGAAAAATTTCCTTGCAGGGAATTGCCTTTTTATGCAACTTGTCCCAGTTGAAACTCTTTGTAACTAAATTTAGCGACCTGCAATTCCAACTAAAAATTGACAGTTTTCCCCGAGTGTCAGCCAGTGAGTGGAGGTCGTTAAGACGGGATGCCCGAGACAAAGCCTGGCAGGGCCCGATGCCGCCCCCGATCCCAGCACTCAGACGGAGGGTCCGTGGAGTCTGGTCCCCTCGAGTCCCCACGGAGGCCGGCCCCACCCACGGCCTTTCCCGTCTTGTCCCAGCACGCAGCCCCTGACTCCCACCTGGGACCAGACCCGGGAGCCCTGTGTTTGCCCACGGGGCCGGTGCCCATCGCTGGGGCCGCCGCCTCCCTCGGAGGGTAACGCCCGCCCAGGTCACGTGCCTGTCGCTCCCGCGCCCGTCACTGGGCAGAGGCCTGATTGGCCTGTGTTTCGTGCCCAGCAGTGGACGGTGAGGAGGGCTGGTCCCCGTGGGCCGAGTGGACCCAGTGCTCTGCCACCTGCGGGCCCGGCACCCAGCAGAGAGGACGGTCCTGCGATGTCACCAGCAACACCTGCCTGGGCCCGTCCATCCAGACACGGGCGTGCAGCCTGGGCAAGTGTGACCACCGCAGTGAGTGTCCGGCCGCTGGCCGTCCCCGTGCGGGTGGGTCGGTGGCCCTGGGCCCTGGGCCTTTGGGTGTGGAGGACAGCCGCTCGCTGCCCTTTGGGGGAGGCAGCCGGCTCCGTCCAACGGCTCTGGCTGGGCCCCTCCCCCACCCCACCTGGGCAACACTCGGACTCGGGCCGGGTGGCCTGCCCCTGATGCCCCTTGTTTCCCTGCGCCAGTCCGGCAGGACGGTGGCTGGAGCCACTGGTCACCGTGGTCCTCCTGCTCCGTGACCTGCGGGCCTGGCAACATCACCCGGATACGGCTCTGCAACTCGCCGGTGCCCCAGATGGGGGGCAAGGGCTGCAAGGGTGGCGGCCGGGAGACCAAAGGCTGCCAGGGTGTCCCATGCCCAGGTGAGTGGGCAAGGTGGGTGGGGGTGGGCCTGCGGGGCGGCTGGGCCCAGGGCCCACGGCCCTGTTCAATCCGAGAAGGCCTCGCGGGCCCGGGCGGTGAAGGGTGTCCCGGCCCCTTGCTGGCCCCCTGCCCAGTGCACGCGAGCTACGCTTCATCTGCCACCTGGCCATCTGGCAAACGACCAGACCAGGAGCAGCAGGTGGCCCAGAATGCAGTGGGTCAGGACACGGCTGGCCCCACGCCCGGGCGTGTGTGGGATGAACGCTTTCCCAACGTGCCACCCATCTGTCCCGAAGGGGAAGAGGGGGCGTTCACAATGAACTTCAATGACCCACACCCTCGTGTGTGTGACAGAGGTCACCTACAGCCCCCGGTCACCAGTCCTCGGTGTCTAGACACCAAGGTGGTGTGACTTTTCCTCCCTGAGGTGAAGACAAACCACTGAGATTCCGTCCACTCCATCACCTCCCGGCCTCGGGCCGTGAACGGGCTTCCTGCCACTTTCTCCGGCCACGCTGGCGACCCCAAGTCCCCGGGCCTTCCCCCCACCCCCACTCCCGCCGGCAGCCCCTCCCCCGCCCCTGCCCCCGCCTGACACGGCCCCTGCCCTCTCCCTGCAGTGGACGGCCGGTGGAGCCCCTGGTCCCCGTGGTCGGCCTGCACGGTCACCTGCGCCGGGGGCGTCCGGGAGCGCACGCGTGCCTGCAACAGCCCGGAGCCCCGGCATGGGGGCAAGGCCTGCGTGGGGGAGGCCAAGGACCTGCAGATGTGCAACAAGAGGAGCTGCCCCGTCGGTTTGTGCTGGGCCCCCCCCCGGCCCCCCCAGACCCCCCAGACCCCCCAGACCCCCCAGACCCCCCCAGACTCCCCAGACCCTGAGGCTCCGGCAGTCCCCACCCTGGATGCCTGCCGTGGCGGGGGTCCGGGAAGCAGCCCCTGGGCTTTCCTTCCTGTCCAAGATGGGAAATGCAACCCCAGCGGGAAAGAAAGAGGGACTGTGGGCGGGCAGAGCCAGCCGTGCCGGGTCCCTCCGCGTTTTTACGCGCCGGCTGCCACCGCGAGGGGCACACGGACTGTCCGAGCAGGGAGCCCAGCGGAGCTGAGTCCCGGGCCGTCCCCTGGGGACGGGGACCCCGGCGTCTGCATGCCGGGACCCCGTGCGATCGACGTCCCTCATTCCCTCCGGTTCTCTGCAGCCACCCGCAGTGCCTGAGGGGCCCGGAGGCCTTGGGGCACGGCCAGGGGCCGTCCTGGGTCACGGCGGCGCTGTGGTCCTGCACCCAGGCCGGCTGCCTGGCTGGCCAGCCGTGGTCCTGACCTCTCCGCCTCCCCACACAGATGGCTGCTTGTCCAGCCCCTGCTTCCCGGGAGCCGCGTGCAACAGCTTCCCTGATGGCTCCTGGTCCTGCGGTGCCTGCCCAGTGGGCTTCCTGGGCAACGGGACCCACTGTGAGGATCTGGACGAGGTGGGTGCCCGGCTGGCAGGGGGTGTGGCGGGACCAGGGGCAGTGGGCTCACGTCTGCTCTCCCCGCAGTGCGCCCTGGTCGCCGACGTCTGCTTCTTCACGGCCAGCAAGTCCTCCCGCTGCGTCAACACCGACCCCGGGTTCCACTGCCTGCCCTGCCCCCCGCGGTACAAAGGGACCCAGCCCTTTGGGGTCGGCCTGGAGGCGGCTCAGACAGAAAAGCAGGTGAGCAGTGGCCCCTTGCGTGATGTCCGGCTCCCATCAGCCGGAATCTGGGAACATGGAGGGTGGGAGATGGGAGGAAAAGGGCGACATTCTGGGGACAGGCGAAGGCTGGGTGAGCTGCTGTCTGCTGTCAGGAGCTGACCTTGTCAGGGTGACACACTCAGGGGTCACACACAAGATCCTGAGGGCCAGGTCTCAGGTCCTCATGAATCTACGGCTCCCTGTGGTCAGCGGGGGCTCGGACACATGCTGGCCACACTCAAGAGCCACTGAGCTGCCTCCAGTGGCTCCAGAAGGAACCGAGTCCTGAGTCCCTGAGCACATCCCTAGGGAGGGTCCCTGCTTGGGAAAGTACCCCCCACCCCCTCCCCCGCTCCCACGCCACAGCCCTGCGTGCTCCGCCTCAGACCTGCCGACAGGTGCGACCCTTCCTCCCAGGTGTGTGAGCCCGAGAACCCCTGCAAGGACAAGACCCACAGCTGCCACCGGCACGCGGAGTGCATCTACCTGGGCCACTTCAGCGACCCCATGTACAAGTGCGAGTGCCAGACGGGGTACGCGGGCGACGGGCTCATCTGCGGGGAGGACTCGGACCTGGACGGGTGGCCCAACAAGAACCTGGTCTGCGCCACCAACACCACCCACCACTGCATCAAGGTGAGGGCGCGGTCAGGCCACTGGGACGGGCCTCCTCACCGTCTCTGGCCCACGGTCGCCGTCTGGGGGGGCAGGAGAGAGTGACCACAGGTGGGGCCTGGCCTCGCACAGCCGGGGGCCGGGGGTCTGAGGTCGCACTGTCGGCAGTGGCTCGCTCCCTCCGGAGCCGCCTCCAGCCACGGCTTCCTCGATGGTGGCTGCCCCCCGCACCCCCGGCTCGGGACTCTGGGTGTTTGTCCCAGCCCCCGACTCGCTTTGGCAAGGACACACGTGCATGTGCCCTGAGCCCACCTGGACACTCCGAGAAGCTCCTCCTCAGAAGACCCTGAACCCCGCACAGGTTGTGCCGTCTGGGGTGACACTCACTTGTCTGCCAGACGAAGTACCACTCGCAGGTTCCAGAGATCAGGGTATGGCCCGTGGCTGGGGACCCACCGCTCGGTCCGCTGCACGAGGCATCCCAGAAGGTTTTGGTGCCATTGGTGTTTTACCGGCTCTACAAACATGGACGATACCAAGGTGCCAAAGCATCCTTCGCAAACATCCGTCCATGTGACATCCACGCTGGCTCGTGCTCGTGACTCGAGCAGTCAAGTTTCCACGCGGTCTTCTCTTTCGGCCCATCTTGGTGAAAGGTGGCAGGTGTTGACGGCAGCCCAGGCGCTGGCTCTGAGGGGCCAGAGCGTCCCCTCTCCCTGCCCCCGTGCCCTCCCTGCGAGCACGGGTGTGCAGCCGGGCGGTCCCGCTGGGGAGGGGTGCTGTGCACGTGACTGTGGCAGAGTTTCTGTGAAGGGCCGGCCACCGCCTGGGCGTCACGGCATGGATAACGGGTGGGCCGCGACGCGAAGACGCTCGCTGGACACCCTGCGTTCTTTTCACTTTTGCAGAATTTCAGACAGGAATTTAGTCACTTAAAAAATGGCACCTTACAATTCCTAGCTATAAATATATATTTTTAGGGAAGTTTTTATTTAGTTAGTTTTAGAGGGGAAAGGAGGGAGAAAGAGAGGGAGAGAAACATCAGTGTGTGATGGCCTCTCACATGGCCCCACTGGGGACCTGGTCCGAAACTCAGGCATGTGCTCCGACTGGGAATCGAACTGGTGACCCTTTGGTTCACAGGCTGGCGCTCAGTCCACTGAGCCACACCAGCCAGGGCCCAGCTATAAATACCTTTATGAGAGTGAACAGGTGCCAAAGGCAGACTGTGAACGGAAGCCTTGCACCCGATCCCAGAGGCCCCTTGCGTGTCTTCCGCCGCGGTGCCTGGGCAGCCCCCTTGCGCTCAGGGCTGGTGTGGAACTTGGCTCGGACGTGGACTGGCGGGGGCATGCTGACCCTTCCGGTGGCCGGCAGCGAGCGTCTCCGCAGCTGAAACACAGGCTCTCCCGTGCACCCTCTCCGGGGTTTCCGGTCCCTCATGGGCTGCTGTCCGGGCAGCTCAGTTTGACACGTGACATGGTTGGACTTGTTCCGTGAGTCCCCTGCTGCCCTGGACGAGCGGGGCTGGGGGCAGTGACCTGGAGTCTGAGCCTCCGGCTCTGAGCAGCCGCCACCCGGTCCCTGGTCCGGTCCTCCAGGCTCAGGAGGGCTGATGCGCTGGGAGCTCTGGCTTTCTGGTGGATGAGGCGAAGATCGCCCGAAGGAGAAGGGACGCCGAAGCCTCTGTCCTTGTCCACGTTTTCTGAGACAGTGGCCCCTGATCAGGTGTTTGGCAGCCTCCCAGGGTCCTGGGCTCCCATCTTCGTCTCGACCCGGTGGGAGTCGTGACATAACTTCCCGGGCAGCCCCGGAGAGGGAGCTCTCTGGCCTTCTTGCTGTGTGCTCAGGGAGGACAGGTGTGTGACCCCGACCTCTCCGCTGTGGGCGCCCCCCCCTTCAGATGCCCACCCTCCCGAGCGCAGGGCTCCCGGGGACATTTCCGTAACTGCGTGCTTCCTCCGACCGCAGGACAACTGCCCCCTGCTGCCCAACTCCGGGCAAGAAGATTTTGACAAGGACGGCGTTGGTGACGCCTGCGACGACGACGACGACAACGACGGTGTTAGCGACGAGAAGGTCAGTGGGCCGGGCCGGGCCGGGCCATCGAGCTGCCGCCCTGGGGCTCAGGCGGGAGGGCTCAGCGGATGGGTGCTCGGACGGAACAGTCGCCGCGAGCTGTCCCGATGGGCGCGCCTGCCCAGTCCCGGTCAGAGGACGCTGGCCCTGCGCGGGAGGACAGGGGGCAGCCGGAGCGCCGCCGCCGTCGGGGCGCTCAGCGAGAAACCCTCGAGCGGTCTGCGTCTCACTGCCCAAAGGGGAGGGGCCTGCGGGCCCTCCTCCCGGTGGGCGGGGCTGTCCCCGAGACCGCGGCAGACTGCCCGGTGGCAGGGTTCAGGCGGCACCATTTCTGGGGAAACTTGTTTGGACGGTAAACGATTCGGCGTCGGTGCCCGGGCCCCGCAGGGTCAGGCTCGCGCTCTGACTCTCTCGCCCCGTCCGGCGCTCGCTCCCCCGCTGGACGTGCACAGGCCCGTCTCCACCGTGAGGCGCAGGGCGCGTCGTCTCCGCTGTGGACCGCGCATGCCCCGGACTGGGCGGGCGCATGCGTCCTCGCACGGAACCCGACGTCGGGGGCGCGCAGGGCGGGCTCGCGCTCAGCCGCTCCGAGGGCGTCTGTCGCCCGTCGGCCCACCCGGCCGGCGTCCCTGTGCTGTGACCTAAACTCTCTTCTCGCTGCCCCGCTAGGACAACTGCCAACTGCTCTTCAACCCTCGCCAGTCCGACTACGACAAGGACGAGGTGGGGGACCGCTGCGACAACTGCCCGTACGTGCACAACCCGGCCCAGATCGACACGGACCACAACGGCGAGGGCGACGCCTGCTCCGTGGACATCGACGGGGACGGTCAGTGCGGCTCCGCCCTCAGTGGACGCGTTTCAGGCTCAGTGGGGAGGGTCGGCGGACTTCTGTTCGGTGTTTGTGGGGCGCGCTCAGCTTCACTGACACCCCAACAGACGGTGATCCTCTGAGGGTCCCATAGAGCCCGTCCACCCGCCCGCCTTTCTCCAAGGGGCGGTGAAGGGGCCGCCGCGCCCGCCCCAGGGCCACCCTCAGACCCTGACAGCCCGCTGCCCGCCTCGTGGACGCGGGCTCTGGTGTCTGTCCCGGCGCCTGCTCCAAAGCACGCTGGTCCAGAGCTCCTGGAGCCCAGCTCTCTCCTCACCACGCCGCACTGGGGCGGGTCCAGGGCCAGCGTCTGCCTCTCTCCGGGCACCGGACAGCCGTCCGAAGAGGCGGCCAGCAGACTCAGACTCGCCCGCCGACGCTCCGTAGCCCCCTCGGAGGCCTTGTCCGGAAAACTGTCAGGGTGGGCTCTAGTTTAAACAGAGGAGGTGTCAATGTTAATGGCAAAGCTCTTGTACATATGTATGTACGTACGTACGTTCTCCCACGAACCCAATACTGTCCCTGCTGGGCCGCATTCCCAGATGGTTTCTACTGAGAGCGCGCTCAGCGGTGAGCTGCTGCCCGCCGCAGGGAAGCAGTGTGCTCCGCTGACCGCTGCCACCTCCTGTCCCCCCCCCCCCCGCATCCTGCAGATGTCTTCAACGAGCGAGACAACTGTCCCTACGTCTACAACACGGACCAGAGAGACACGGATGGCGACGGCGTGGGCGACCACTGCGACAACTGCCCCCTGGTGCACAACCCCGACCAGGTGAGGGGCCGGGCGTCCGTGGGTGGGCGGGGACGGGGCTTCATCCGCTGCAGACCCGCATGCCCTCGTGGGTCTCCATCAGCTCTGCCCACACGTGGCGGCACGGGCTCTCCACTCATTGTAATTGGAAACATTCACTGAACTGAACTCTACACACGACTCGCGCATCTCGGTGGCCCCCGGCCGAGTGCGCAGAGGCTCCGCTGTGTGGTCCTGGGGGTGCTGTGTGTCCGTCTCATCGTCTCTGCGTGTCCCTGACTCGGCCCGGCGTTGCCTTTGGGGGACACGGGGGAGAACATGGCGTGGCCGCAGCTCACATGGCCCAGGGTGGGCAGGGGTGGGCTTGCAGCCGTGAGCATGAGAGACAGAGCTTGTCCTCGGGCTGTGATGTGTTAGCTGCTGTGCCGTTTCCCGCCCCCACAGCGGTAACCCCGCTTGCCCCTGTGTGCTGTCCCCAACGATGTCAGAAAGGGACTGGATCCTGGCTGGTTCGCTCCAGTCTCCCTTCGGGGCGGGAGCTGCAGGGAGGGTGCAGAGGATGGAGCTGGGTCCTTGGCCCCCCGCCGTGTGTAGGCCGAGGTGCGACCTGGGGGGCCAACCCTGTCCACAGTGCGGCCGCTTGCATGGGAGGAGCTGGTCTGGCCCGAACACCGTGGGTGACCCTGTCTGGCACCCGCTCCCTGGACGGAGGCTCAGTGCTGCTCCCCCATGATCTGCCCTCAGACCGACGTGGACAACGACCTCGTGGGAGACCAGTGTGACAACAACGAGGACATCGACGAGGACGGCCACCAGAACAGCCAGGACAACTGCCCCTACATCGCCAACGCCAACCAGGCTGACCACGACCACGACGGCAGGGGTGACGCCTGCGACTCAGATGACGACAACGATGGGGTGCCTGACGACAGGGACAACTGCCGGCTCGTCCCCAACCCCGGCCAGGAGGATGCCGACGGTAGGTGGGGGGTCCAGACGCCAGAGCGGCGGCTTCCTCTGGGCATCATCCCGCTCAGGTGTGGGTCCATGTGTGCCCCCCCTCGGCAGGATGTTCGACACTTTTGCCACTCTCTGTGCAGAGCGGCCAGGGACAGACAGGCTGAAACAGGCCCGCTGACCCGGCGCAGCCTGGGGACCCCCCAGGAGCTGCAGGAGGGAAGCATGTTCAGTGTCCCGGGGGAGCGGGGGCTGCGCTGACCTGCGTGGGAGACTGTCTGTGGTGTCTGAGGTTCATGTTCACAGGCGTGTGCTGCTGAGGAGGATGGACGGTGGCTGAAGTCTGCGAGGGGAGCTCGGCATCTCTGCCTCCTTCTGAAGCAGCAGGCACTCACATGGGTCGTCAGGACCAGGGACTGGGCACTGTGCGGGGGCGGCATCCTGTCCCCTGTTCACCAGGGGGCTTTGGCCCACCTGACCCCTCCCACCACCTCACTGGAAAACTTGATAAGAGGCTTCTGGAAAAGGGGAGCCCACATCTCCCCGGGGACAGCTGCTCTGAGCGCAGCTGTGAGTGCAGGGGGAGACAGGTGTCCAGAGACGCAGGCAGGGACACTGCGAGCGGCGGAGAGAGATGTTCCGGAAAACAAATGCTGGTGTTCGGGCCAATGACTTGCCGCCCAGGTGTCCTGCAGAACCAGCCGGGAGCCGACGGCGCCCCGTCTCCCCAGGGGACGGTGACGCAGGCAGGCCTGGCTGCAGCTATCGGGCCGAGTATCGCAGAGATGACGGCATCAACCCGTGAAGCTCAGGCGCTTCCCTGGGCTGCCGCAGAGCCGCAGCTGTTCTCTCAGACACGGGGCGGGTGGCAAGCCGTGTCCCGTTTTCTTGTTTCCTGCTTGTCCGTGGTGACAGGTGACGGGCGGGGAGACGCTTGCAAGGACGACTTCGACAACGACAGCATCCCGGACATCGACGACGTGTGTCCCGAGAACCACGCCATCAGTGAGACGGACTTCAGGAACTTCCAGATGGTCCACTTGGACCCCAAGGGCACCACGCAGATTGACCCCAACTGGGTCATCCGCCACCAGGGCAAGGAGCTGGTGCAGACGGCGAACTCCGACCCTGGCATCGCCGTGGGTGAGCCCCTCAAGCCCGTGCGCCCATCCTGCTGCTGGGCCAGGGGCCCCGGCTGGGCTTTGAGCCACAGGGATGGGATGAAGTGGGTCCTTCTAGGGGCCCCGTCCCTTCACGGCATGCAACCCCCCTGCCTGAGCACACGCTGGCCTCTCCTAAGCCTCTGACGTGTTGTTTGCAGGAAGCCACCTGCCATGCTGTTTTAGAACTCGAGCGCAAACTCGCACATGAGGCAGGGGTACTCTGCCGTAGCTCTTTAGGTGGGACCTGGAGAGGTGGAATCCTTTTACAGCGACAGCTCCCGAGTTGGGTGGAGAGCTCAGCTCAGTGGGCCCCCAGAGCTCCATGGGGCGCCGAGGGGTGGTCCCGGCCGCCCGTGTCTCACAGTCGCCGTTCCCTCTGGCGCCCAGGTTTCGACGAGTTTGTGTCTGTGGACTTCAGCGGCACGTTCTATGTCAACACCGACCGGGACGACGACTACGCTGGCTTTGTCTTCGGCTACCAGTCCAGCAGCCGCTTCTACGTGGTCATGTGGAAGCAGGTGACCCAGACGTACTGGGAGAACGAGCCCACCCGCGCCTACGGCTACTCGGGCGTGTCCCTCAAGGTGGTCAACTCCACCACGGGCACCGGCGAGCACCTGCGGAACGCGCTGTGGCACACCGGGAACACGGCGGGCCAGGTGAGGGGTGGTGCTGCTGGGGCCCCGGGCCCTGCTCTGGGGGAGCAGCCCCCGCCCGCCCGGGGTTTGGCCCGGAGTAACCCAGAGGACTGGGTCTCCCCCTGACGAACACACCGTGCTGGTCCTTCTGTGGACAGGACTGGCAGTCCTCTCGCCAGCTAAACGGCCTCTGGCTTCTGCTAGAGACGAGGGGCTGCCCTCAGCAAGTGTAGGGGTTGCCCCGGGGTCTCACTCAGGAGGCAGAGGGCCCAGTGCTCAGAGCCGTGCGTCCGGCTCAGTGACTGTGCCCCCAGCGCCGAGCACCCCACCCCGTCAGGGGGTTTCTCCACGCCAGCCGTCTGCACCACGGGCGTGAGTCCCCGGGGTTCGTGGCAGAGCAAACCAACTAGTTCCCGCGTGGTGTCGTGAAACTGTGCTCAGGCCTGAGGGTGCCGGCTGCGCTCACGAGGGTGTCTCCCCCCAGGTTCGGACGCTGTGGCACGACCCCAAGAACATCGGCTGGAAAGACTACACAGCCTACAGGTGGCACCTGACCCACCGGCCCAAGACGGGGTACATACGGTGAGCGCTCCGAGTTGCCGTGCTTTCCCCGGCAGCTCTCACGGGGGAGGCCGTGTTTCCATCGGCCACATGTGCACGCGGTTGTGGGCAAGCCCGGCGGACCCTAGCCTGCGCGTCGTTCTGGATGCCCTGCCCTTAAACACCTTCTCTTTCCTGTCCCGGATCTGCTGCTGCTGCTGCTCACTAATCAGGACGAAAAGCAAAAAGGAAAACAAAGCTGTTCCAGTCAGACTCGTCCCGTTAAAATGACAAGGAGGGTGCTCGGCACCTGTCCTCTGAGGACACACGCCCCCAGCGAGGGGACAGTGGGCAGTTAGGGGCCCCGTTGCTGCAGAGTGAGCCTGCGCAGTCACGGGTGCTTGGAGGGCAGTCACGTGTGTTTCTGATACGTCAGTGGCTCCGAGGAAAACACACCTGTGCACAGAACGCTCACGAGTATCAGTCCGACTGACTCTGGTTCCCTTGGCGTGACAGCAGCGGCAGTGGATTTTGAGTGAAGCAAAACATGACAGTTTAAGTGTAGCTGTCCTTGCAGAGTTAAGCCTAGCCGACAAGCACACGATGCGGTCAACGTAGAGGTCTCCCCATAACCAGCGACGGGTGCAGCGTGCCGGCTGGGCGCCCGGGGCGGTGTTTCCACGGCACATCCCTGCTTCCTCCCTTCCTCCCTCCCTCCCTCCAGTCCGGGAGGCCGGGGGCACCAGCCCCGTCGTGGTGGGTGGGTGGAGCCTCTTCTGGCTTTCCTGGGGCCCCTAGTTAGTGGGGACACAGCGGTGAGCACGTGGCTGATGCCCCTGTCTCGGTAGAGGGAGTGTCCCCAGCTGGTGGGGGGTGGGTGCCTGGAGGGCGGAGGTGACGGTGAAGCCACCTGCATTCGGACTGGGTGACAGGGAGTCACGGGAAGGGGGCTGGGACAATGCGGAGTCCCCGTGGCTTGTCCTTTTCTGAGTGTGCTTCCCGGAGCCCATGGTCTCCTCCGCCCCGTTTCCCGGCCCACAGGGTCCTCGTGCATGAAGGGAAGCAGGTCATGGCGGACTCGGGACCCATCTACGACCACACCTACGCTGGTGGGCGGCTGGGCCTGTTTGTCTTCTCTCAAGAAATGGTCTACTTCTCAGACCTCAAGTACGAGTGCAGAGGTGGGTGTGAGCGCACGCCCAGCGGAGAGAGTGGGGAGGGGCCCCTGAGCCTGTCCCCTCATGGAGACGCCAGGGCCAGGCAACACGCTGATGGCTCGTGGTGAGTGGAGGTGCGTCTGGGCGGCTTGAGCTGCTGCTGTTCGTCCGTTTTGGGTCAAGTGCGATGTCTGTGGTGAGACACACGCTTGGCAGCTCCTCACGGGCCGCCCGTCCCCCTGTTGCTCTGCTCCATGGCTTCCTGGACACGCTGTGCCACAGGCGGCAGACACACGGCCCCTGGGCCGAGTCCAGCCCTCCACCGTGTCTTATCTGGCCCGGCACCTGGTTTCTACCCGCGGCAGTGCCAAGCTCTTGCTGAACTGTTAAGGAGCAGTTACATGTACACAGACCTAAAGTCACATCTGGCCCTTAGAAGGCAACTGTGAGGCTGATGTGGCCCCCGGTGAGAATGAGTCTGACACCCTGCTCTACACAGTTGGGCCCTTAGGGGAGCTTTAGAAGGCTGGCCCGTGAAAGAAAGGGAGAGAGAGAGAGAGAGGGAGGGGAGGTGGTTATCTCTCCACTGGGGTGCCAGAACCAAAATGCGGCACACCCAGGAGGGAGCTGGCGGCTCTCTGGTCTAATCCCCGCCCTCCTGCGGGCCGGACACACCCCGTCGAACAGAGGAGGTCAGGGGGCTGGGAGACGCCGCTCCCACCCGGCAGTTAAAGCCAAATGCCAGGTGCAGGCAGAAAGCACAAACTCGATTTACCTTCGCGCACCTGGTGATTTTCTTCTCCCGCTGGGCAGGCTCCCTCCCTCCTTCCCTGCATCCACACGTCCATCCAGCCGTGTCGTGATGTCTTTTTTTTACATCAAAATCATGATATTTGAGGTTGCAGCTAAACTGAAACGCCGCAGCGCCACGGCCCCGCCCCCTAACCACTCGCTGTCTTCCGCAGATGCGTGACCGGACCGGCCGCATTTCCCGCACGCACTGCAGATGCCGGCGCCCCGACGCCTCGGCCACCCCGGTCCTGCGGCTTCTCTCGCTTCAGCACCTCTTCTGTCCTTGACCTTCACTCCGGGGGGCTCTTCCCCTGCCGTCGTCAGCCCCGAGGGCGCACACCAGTGGGACCCGGAGATGAACTCCGACCCGGCGCTGGAAACAGCGACGGTGCCGCAGACTTCGGGTGCGGGGACCGCCGACAGGGTGCTGCTGCTGCTCGTTGGCCTCACAGGCCTGACGCTTACGTGTAAAACGCGGTTCCTCTCTGTGCCGGCGCGCGCGTGCGCCTGACGGGGACGCGGTGCGTGGGGACGCGCGGTGCGTGGGGCGCCGTCGGACCCTACGCGGAAGGACACGGCACACGGCTTGCTTTGCCTGCAGCCGCCGCTGGTGGGTGGGGGCAGCCCCGTGGGAACGGGTCCTGTGCGGTCCCTTCGGAACCAGGCGCACGCGAGTGGGAGTGACGCCGGCAGGGACGAGGCCGGGCCAGCGCGGGTGCGGGCGCCAGGGGCCAGCTCCGTGGGTCTTTGGAAACGATCCCGAGAGGGGTGTCCTCTGCGGAGGGATGTCCTGCCGAAGGGCTCGGACGCGGGCCAGACGGGGCCCGGCGAGGCTGCCTCTGGGCGACAGTGTGACGGAGCGCGGTGCTCTCCCTCGGGCTGTCTCATACACGGCCCCGCGGGCCGCGCCCGTGGGCGCCCGCCCCGACCTGGTATCGCGCTTCGCGACCTGAAAGGCTCCAGTCACAGGTGCCGGGCTGCCGTTTGCGGGAAGAACGAGACCGCAGCTCCGTTCCCCGGGAACTTCTCTTCCATCTGCCGAGGGGCGCACGGACGCGCGCCCAGTGCACAGTGACACCAGACGGTCGTCACCGCAGAAGGCCTTCCCGTCAGAAACCCGGGGCGTTGTCATCCGCGTTGTCGGGGCAGCTCGCTGCGTGGCGGGGCGGGGTACGCGAGGAAGAGCGGGAGTTCGGGGGGGACCCTGAGCGTGCGCTGCCTCCGCGGGCGCCCTCCCCCCTTCCGCCGCGCACCTCCCCCGCGCGGTCTGCAGTGCGGGGCTGGATCTGCGGCTGCGTGGTCGGCCGGCCCTCCCGATGCGCATGCGCCCTCTCCCCGCGGTCCGCAGGGCCACTGGTCGCTTTCAGTCGCGGGATGCCCTCCACGGGCGTTCATCCGCGGGGCCGGGCTCGGCCGGCTGGGGCAGCTCTTTCCTTTCTACCGGTAGTGATCTGCTTTTGGTGTCAGTCAGAGAGAATCCATAGCTTTTGCCTGAGCGCGCACATGTCATTCGCTAAAGATATGTTTGCTGCCTTTTTTGAGGTTTTCTTCGTTTTGCTGCACTTGCTGCTTTTTGCGTGGACCTGCCTTCCCGAGACAGCAGGGTCGGAGACGCCGTGCCACGCGAGGGCGGCGAGGGCACACGTTCTCCACGTCGGTGGCGTGGGCCGAAGGACACAGGGTGTGGGGTGATGTGAATATTTAGAATGTACCATAGTTTTTGTAAATTATTTATGTTTTTTTAAACAGACTTCTCATACAGATTGATGAAACGCCATCTGTTTTGCCAAAGACTGTAAATATTTATTTATTTGTTCACTTGGTCAACATTTCGCCGCAGACACCCTGCATTCAGCTAGAGCCTCATGTTTATACTTCAAAGATTAAAAACAGAAAATAAATTGTAAAAAGATTTTCTATAAATGAATCTCTCTCCTTTTTTTTTTTAAGAGGGGTCTCTCCCTGGGCGTGCGGGGAAGGAGAAGCCCCAGCGGGAGGCCTGCGGTTTCCCGTCCTGGGTTGCGAGCATGCCCGGCTGCCACTCTCGGGGTGACTCGGGTTTCGGGTCCTCCCGCCGCGTCCGGCTGTCAGAGGAGCCCAGAACTATGCCCAGAACGTTAGCAGGCAGCCCGGGAGAGGTCCAGAAAAACGTGGCAGCAGGAGGGGCCCTCTCATTGGCACCTGCTGCACCCCAGCCCCTTGTCCCGCCAGAGGCCACTGGATGGACACACGTCGAACTGCGACGTGGTGTGGAAACCAGCCCGGTCCCGAGGAGGAGGCTGGACAGCACCGGCGTCCGGGGGTCTCCGCAGGCCCAATGGCTCCGGGGACATCTGAGAACATGAGGGCAGCTCAGGGAGAGAGGGATTCTGGGACAAACATGCATGTCTGGCCGAGATTCTCAAGCGAGTCAGGGAAGCAACAAGGCCAGGAAAGGCCGTCTGATGTGGTTGGATTGCTGACATTAAGAGGGAGGAAGAAGCTGGACCTCCTTCTGCTGTCAATTGAGGAGCCCCCCCAAAAATTCAGAGGTGAGAGTAGGGGGAGTCACTCAGGGGGACTAGAGCAGCTGCAAGGAGGGGCGTAATGGCCATTTTACTCATGCATCAAGAATGTGTTTAACAGTGATGCTTGGCCGTCAGGCGTGAAAACGGGGTGCGTCCTTCCACACACTCGGCACTCTCTGTCGTTCGCTGTAATGTGCTCGTTCCCTGACTGCTGGGCCCCGGGGCCCGGGAGGGCCATGTCAGGACCGCTGCCTTCCAGGGCTCTCCGTCAGCGTGTCTGGGGCCTGACCCAGGAACGAGGGTCTCCGGGCCTGTGATGACTTCGGTCGCAGGGGCTGCTCTGGCTCCTCCCCGTCTCTGTGCAGGGTGCTCCCTCAAGCTGCAGCCTTCAGTGTGGCCTACAAGCCAGCTGCCCAGACAGGCAGCAGTGGCGGGGACAGCGGGGACTCAGGTGTGGAGTCCCCCGGAGGACAAGCCAGCCAGTCCTCAGGGCAATCACGCTGTCAGGCCCAGGAGCCGGTGATGAAACGATGGAACACTCGTTCACGGACCCGAGGCGTCTGTGACCCGGGAGGGTTGGGGGTCCAGGAGGGGCTTGCTGCAGCCTGTACCCTGCCCCCCACAGGTGGACGGGGGTCCCTCCCAGGGTCTCAGTGCACTTTAGCATCTCACTCAGGTTTCCTCCGTCAGTCTGCGTTTCACCGGCTGGTGCTTTGGCCACAGCAGCGGCGTGGCCTGGAGGGAAATGGCTCCCTGGCTCCGCTCAGGTGGCCGGCCCATGGAGTAGGGACACAGACGCCTGCACAGTGGGGTCTTCCAAGGGTGGAAAGAGTCTATGGAGGTTCAGGGGAGCCAGGCCCTGGTATCCGGGGCAGGAGCAGGGGACAACCGGGCCTTCCTGGGGACAGTCCTGAGCCCAGCCACTCCCAGCCCCAGCTTCCGGGGCAGCCCCTTGGCAGGCAGCCTGAGGTTTGAGGACCAGAGCAGGTCACTGCCAGTGCAGCCCAAGGACACCAGCCCTGGGGACTCCCAGGCATTCCTGCCAGCAGTCTGGGCGCTCGGCCACTCGGCTGCCTCTGACCCTCACTGACTCCAGGCAGCGCGCCTGCCAGGCCCCCTGAGGGCCACGTGTCAACCTGACCCCTTGGTGGCCACTTGGGCCCCGAGAGCCAAGGCAGGGCTGTGACCACAGCTGCCTCCCAGGGCGACTCACTCCATGTCTCTCAGCCATACTGATGCCCAAAAACTTACTTTGCTTTTTCCAGAGAATGACTTGGTCACCCAAACACGCCCAAAGCATTATGAGTGACCCCAGTGTGTGATTGTAGCTTCCAGCCCAGTTACACCCTCTTCCCACCGTGCGTGACACAGCCTCAGTGAGAGGACATCACACGGGGCCCCTGTGAAGCAAGGCCTGTGTGCAGGGTGTGGACACTCAGCCCGCCCGGCCCCCAAGCCTGCGGTGCCGCCAGCTCCCCACTTTCCTTTTGCCCACAGGGTTTTTCTGGGCCTTGACTTCAGGCTATGGGGCAGTCATCCAAAGGGGTGATTTGGGAAAATGAAAACGTAAAGGAAACGAGTACAGAAAGAGGAAAAAGTGTTAGTACGATGAATGTTCGTTGCACTTAATTTTATATACCGTTTCTTTACTTTCAAAATTGCTATTTATTATACACACAAGCTTGTTTTGCTGTTCAGTGAATTTACTTTTCTATTTGTGAAAATTGTTTAGTTCGCCTTGGTTGGGACAGATCACATTTGGTTTTTCCTATTTAGAAAGTGGAGTTGTTTTTATTTTTTATATGATTTCAGGAACAAATTGCACTGTTAAAAATCTGTGGTACATAGATACAATGCAGTGCTACTCGGCTGTCAGAAGAGGTGACATGCTGCCTCCTGTGACAACTGGGAGGGGCCTTGGGACTCGCACGCCGAGCGCAGACAGTCAGTCAGGAACCCCTGATTTTGCTGGGGTGTGGGGCATAAAACTGAAATGGACACACAAACAAACAAACGCAGACACAGGCAGCAGTGTGGAGGCAACCAGAGGGAAGAGGGCAGCAAAGGGCAGAGGGGGTCCAGTATGTGGTGTCGGAGGGGACTTGACTTTGGGTGGGGGATGCCCAGTGCAACATCCAGGTGATGTATCCTAGGACTGTACACTTGAAACTCAATTTTATTATCAATATCGCCACCATAAATGTAATGATGAAAAAGAAATGTGGTAACTATACTTGCATATCTACCATGGATGGTTCAGGGATTTATACTTGACATGGCATTGAATGTTATGCACACTCACACATACTACATACATGCCGCCTGGAGACACAACTTTGTCGTTAGGAACAATTTCCTGGGAGGGTCTTGTCTTGCAGATCAGAAAGTTGCACTTGAGTTGAAGTGTCCGGCTACCCAGGATGGGGAAAAGGGGGGTCAGCCTCAGGTTCTGTCAGCCTCGGAGTTTCTGCTACGCCTGCCGCAGGGAGCCTGGATCAGCCCTGGGGAGGGGCTGGCGGCCCCACTGGGGCCAGGTCCTGAGCCCATGCACAGGGAGGCATGTCGGGGCTCCGGCCGGCAGCTCCTGAAGCACATTCGTGTGTGTGCGTGTGTGTGTGTGTGTGTGTGTGGTATAAATGCAGGTTTATTTTCTTCAAATCCCATTCATTTTCTCTCTTTTTTTTTTTACTGTTGTTCAAGTACAGATGTGTCCACTTTCCCCCCACCACTCCCCCAACCCCAGCCACCCCCACCTCCCACCCCGAAGCACATTCTTGCAGCGAGTGATCTTTCAGGCTGTCACATGAGGTTTGATAAAGAGCATGACATCTGACTGTTCTCAAATCCTTCATGACAATGCAGAATCTCCTCTCATTCAAAGAGCTTCGTAAGCAACTTATTTTAGTTCCCAAGCTCTTTTCAAATGCCATATCTTTCTGGGACTAAAGACATGGGTGTAACCCTTAAACTTACACAGTGTTAGATGTCAATTATATGTGTCAACAGAGCTGAGAAAAGGGAGGATTCAGCAGAGTCGAAGGAGGCAAGGTCAGCATGAAAACAAGCAGCTGTGTTTCTGTGCACTTTCGCTAAGGAGTGAGAAGTGAAATTAAGAAAACAGTTCCATTTATGATAGCACCCAAAATCATAAAATACCTAGCAAAAGGTGAAAGACTTCTGAAATGCATAATGTAGAACAGCTGAAGAAAATTAACAAAAAGCAAAATAAGTGGAAAGCCCTCTCGTGTTTGTAGGTTGGCGGATTTAACATCATCAGGGTGGAGTGCTGCCCGGTGGGAGCCACAGATGTGGGGCAACTTTTATCACACTCCCGACAGCCTCGGTGCAGGAATGGAAAAGATGGCCCTCAGGTTCATGTGCAGTCCAAGAGCTCTAGAAAGCCACAACGATACTGGAAAATAAAAACAAACTGGGAGGACTCACACTTCCTGATTTCAAAACTTCCTACAAAGCTACAGTATTTGGGGCAGGGTGGTGTTGGAGCTGATGAAACAAGACACAGAATCCAAAAGAAACCCCGCACTGTGGCTGAGTCACTGTCTTGAGTGGTCCCAAGGCCATTCCGTGAGGAAGGAGGGGCCTCTCTCTGCTGCCGGTGGAGACCGAGCTCTTCCGCGGGGTCACGAGGGAAGCAGTCCGAGGACGCATGCGTGGGAGACTGTGGTGTGCTGGGGTGGTTTGTCCATGTGGAAGGAGGCCCCTGGGTTTCCAGGGCCCCATCTCCCTCCGTCTGCCATGGAAAAGTCCAACTGTGCCCTCAGCGAGGCCAAGCCAAAGGCTGGAGCTTCTGTTTCATATTAAAGCTGAGTCCTGTGGACCCCACACCATCTGCTGCGGCCCCCACGGCTGCTGGCCCCACGTGGTTGAGTGTTTTCCTGGACGAGAGAACACACGGACCAATGAGGCAAGAGTAGGGGTCCCTGGAATTACACCACCTTGGGCCTGGGAAGGACCAAGGGCTTTTACAAAATAACCTGTCAGCGTCCCACGCTTCTGTGGGCTTCGGACCAGACCCCCCCCCCAGTTGGACTGGCAGGCCTCTGTGGTCAGGGCCCTCCCCCTGCGGTGCCCCCAGCAGGCTGGTACTGGTACCGGAGGATGGACAGGGCCCCAGGCAGGTGTCCTGCACTCTCAGGGTTCCGTCCCCTCGGTGGTGGTCCCCTGCCATGTGGGAACGAGCCTGTAAGCGCTGCGGCTTCCCAGCGAGGCCAGCAGGCTCCTGCCCCCCAGTCCACTGAGCTCAGAGTCAGATTCCCTTTACTCCCTTCCTTGTCAACCACAGTTGACCCCCCAGGGCAACATTTCCACTTGCACAAGAATAAAGTTGACCCCTACTTCACACTGCATACGAATTAACATAAAATAAGCCACCTCAATGCAAGAGTAAAACTATAAACTC